TTTACTTACATCTCACAAATCTTGTATCACATTTTATCCCTCCCCCAAAAAATCCTTATATGATTTCCAATAAACCTATATCCATTCTCCTTTGGAATGCGAAAGGTATCACACAGACGAAATGTCTGCATAGTTACTTAACAAGAAAATTGACGTGGCACTGATTACTGAAACTCGACTAACCACTAAACAGCACTTCAAAATACCACAATACCTGACATATCGTACTGACCATCCTGACGGAAGAGCACATGCCGGTACTGCTGTAATTGTACACCAATCCCTCTTCCATCACCTACTCCCGTTACCTATACATGATTTCCTAGAGTCTATAGCAATCGTAATAAAAACCTTCTCCTTTCCGGTTACCCTCGCGTCAGCGTATTGCCCTCCTAACCGATCCATATCCAATGCCCAATTCAGTTCTCTCCTCGATTCCTTAGGACATCATTTCATTTTGGGCGCAGACTTAAATGCCAAGCACCAACAGGTTCACGAATTCTCGTGGCCGAACCCTGCTGTCTGTACTCTATTCTCAACGTTTTCTCTCTCAACTCTCCAACCTACTAGCCCACAGATCCTAACCGTAATCTTGATATTCTTAATTTCTTTATCCACAGCTGCTTAAGTCCCCTCAATTGTTTTATTACACATCTGCATGAACTTTCCTCTGACCATAGTCCTCTAATTCTTAATGTTTCACTTGAACCCGTTCCCAAACCTTCTCCACCGTCATTTATTAGAGGCCCAGTTAACTGGGACCTTTTCCGCCAAATCCTTAAAAACTTCCGATGACCTATATAGGGCCGTCAATTCCTTTTCTACCACAATCCAACAAGCCGCCTGGATTGCCTCCTTCCCAAAAGACTCCTCCAGAATTCCTAAAAAAACCATTCAACCCCAACACCTCCTTGTCCTTATCCACACTAAACGCCGTACCAGATTATTATGGCAACGTACTCAACATTCTACCGACCGCAGTTCCTATAATTATTACTGCGACATAAATCTTTAAGGATGTATCCACCATCAATTTTAATTATTGTACAGCTTATTCAGAATTTTATTAAAGAAAATAATTAAATAATACAGCGAAAACAAATCCTCTTTAAGTCTGTGTCGGGAAGTTACTAAACTCTCGATACACTCGATAGTTTTTATCAAACTATCGCTAGTGCCCAACTATCTACTATCTCCCATCCCTACTCCGAGTCATCTGAAAAGCAGATAGCCCCGTGATATCTATAATGTAGACACATTATTAGAGTGCTACCTAGTGGATAGTTTCTAAACAACTGTTTTCATGTTATTATTTTTCGTTATTATGTTTACTGAATGTATTGTTGTTTGTAATACACAGTCGTGAATATCATAAATCAAAAAAAAAATTGCACTTTTAGAAATTGCATCATCTTCATTTCTTTTAAATTACATACATGAATCGTAAACTATTATCATTAATGTGCCAACACTTCAATTCATTATCAGTAATTTTATTCCCAATTAATTATGTAAATTCTTGGTGGATAGTTAATTGATATAAAAGAAAAGACTGTCCCTTTTTTTCGTTATGGTAGAAACTTAATATACTGTAACAGTGTTCTAAGTTTTTTCTTACCATAAAAATAACAGATGATTCATGGCGGTGTCGTTTGGAGGAAATGATAAGAAATTCCATTCCATTGGCAACTAGTTCATTCCTATCCTTTTTTTTTTTACGAATGCCAGAAAATGGAGCTTTAGATGCTCTAGTTCTATTTGATATTTAACGTTTCCATTTCCCTTGAGGCCGTTGCTCGAATTGCAAGTACCGTGTACTGCTCCGTGTTATCATAAGCGTAGCATAGGTAAAGAGGTGATGGAGAGAGGGGGGAGGGGTCGGAGGGTTATAGCACCGGACCACAAAATTGACTTTTATTGCAACTTTTTAATGCCGACTTTTCCGGGGGAGAGTAGGACTATAAAAGGGACACTTGTAGGTATATATCATAGTTTACGACAGCCCTCACCGCCGCATGGTCCTTGCTCAGAATTTACTAGTACCCTTAGTACCCATCTTAAAAAATAGTGGCCCTCGTATTTTTTCTTATTAATATTTTTCTGTAATTGTATATCAATTTTATGGGTAATTCACGTCGTCCATGAATTAACTACAACTTTATTGCATAATTTATTGGTCGAAATTTTCATTATTTTATCCTTTTGACATGGTGTTTTTTCAAGAAATGAAGAACAGTGTCGTTGGAAATATTGTATTATTGTTGAAAAATAGTTGGTCGTTTATTGTAATAAACCACTTTCTTGAATATCTGTTACTTATATTTATTCTAGCGTATTACTAAGTGTGTAAACATAAAAAAACAATATTAGGTTTTTTAAATCACTTATTTAAAAAAGGCTTATGTTTTCTTGATTTTTGTAAAATCATATTTTTTGTATTGACATGCCACTCTTTAATTGCTGCCTTATATATTTTTTTTTCGTGTCATCACTACAGAACCATTTCAACATGACACCATTTTAGGAAATATTACAGGATGAGTCGTAAACCTTTTACTGAGTTCATTGAAGGACATCGCAAATCCATCAGGCTGTTCCTAAACTTATAAGATGGAATTCAGTGAGCTTCTTTATTCAAGGGCTCAACCGTCCCATTGACTTCTGGTAGTTCTAACCTCATTTTAATATATGAATGTTGTTATCTCTCAATTTACTTTACATATGTGTATTCAGTTTACTTCCTATCTATATTTGTTAGTGTTTTTACATTCAATAATTCAGTTGGAACATATTCCATTTTATATTTATATTTTTTATGTGTGACCTTCATGTATACATTTCTATCTATCGGTCCTCAATCAATAGATGACTATTGAATGGATGATGATTGAAGGACTCCTTCAATGGAATTAGTGCTTACTTTAGGAACTGTGCCTATTAATTACTTTGTTTTTTATTTTAGGGTTATTTCTTTCCGATTTTTTTTTAAATCTGTTAATTCAATTTTTTTGTATGTGATATTATATATTATACTTTTTATTTATATTATTACTTATAATTCCTTAGCATCAGTAGCACCGTTTACTCCAAACAAAGTAACATGATTTTCGTAATGATTTCTTTATATATTATTTCTAGGTGTTTTTTTTCGGTACCCCATTTTTTTATTTAATTTAATGATTGACACCTCATTTTGGAGATCTCCTTCAGGTGCGAAAAATACTCATTTCGCCGAAATTTCTAGGAATAGAGTTATGAAGGAAAAGAAACTTTATTTGCAAATAACTCAAAAAGTATACTTCTTTTTTTTATTTTATTTTTTTATTATATCCATGATTATTAGAAAGATTAATAAATTCCCTACAAAGCAAAACAAAAAATCATTTAAATCGATTAGATATTTTTAAATTTGAAACAATTTGTAACGACCGTAGGAGCAAAGTTTGTCCAAATATTTTTTAAGCAGAGTCGAGGTTTGTATTTCGAACCTTGAAACTAAATACTGAATTCCCTTCAAAACAAAATAACATCTTAAAAATCTGACCATTATTAACAAATATACAGTCAATTAAATCTGGTTTGCTGAATAATTTCTTTCTCTTTGAATATATCGCATTTACTGTTCTACCACGTTTTGTTTTTCTGGCTGATATATACACTATTAAAGACATTTTTTTGTTTGTACATTTTATATTTTTTAATAATTTATCAAATCCAATGATCGATGCTTTATTTTGATTATTACCTTTTTCGCCATCGATTAAAAATAGACGCAAGAAAAGTTATCTGTACAAATATTATGTTCAATGAAATATTGTAATCGACCAAGGAAAACAATAAATTCCTCCCTCACATAATACATAGGATCTACTTATTTCCATATTGTTTTGCTATTCCTTTAGTAAACGAAATAGTCTGTGAAATATTCGCACGGGCCAACTAGTAAGATATAGTGATTTAACATTAGAAATTTGACTGTATTTTGTGTAACATACATTTTAAAACACATCATTATTGAAATAAGAATGAGGCCAATTAAAAACTATTTAATCTGTAATAATATTCCGAGAAAATATTACATATATAATAAGTATATTACTTTAAAGAATAAACTATAAATGGATTTATAAGTAGCGAAGTCCTCTCTGTTTCAAATAGTTCCGCGCTGCCATGACTAAGACTGTCTTCTGTCCAGGACGTGCTCCTGAGGAACGCTATTGGATTATCCGGCGGGCGATTGTCCTCCAGGGACCTTCCTTAATGGCCTTCGCTTATTGGCCGGCATTAAATCAAGTTAGCTCCTGTGATCAAGCACAGTACATCACGGCCCTAGCAAATTGCATTCTAGTCCCTCAACAGTGCTAATGTTTGTAAACAATAGTAGTAACATTGTACACGTGGCCGCTTGGAGATCTATCTCACCTGCCCTGTGCAGCTGCATAGGTATGCACATGCACCGGCAGATGCTCACTCTAGCATGATAGAAACACGTTTGACCGTGTTCCGTACGTGCTTCCTCCACTCAAATCAGGATTCATTTCAATTTTTCCAAGAGGTCGTTAAAATGATAGTTGAATAAGTAAGATCTTTTGGTTTATTATTTTCAATAATAATTACAATGAACCATTGTAATCGACCAGAAAAATCAAAAACTTAATCCCCCTTCAAAATTCCAGGTTTTACGTTTCAGGATACTATTCTATTTCATTTATTTTATTATTACTATTATTTATATTTTCTTTTTTCATTATGATATTTTCTTTTGTTCTTATTTCGCTGTATATTATTTTGAAATTACCTTATTTCAAAGTAAGGTAATTTCACCTCTCTGAACTCTATTATAATATGTCCTTTATTGAGGTAGGTTGTAATATTTATCAATAAACAAGTAATTAATTCTTTAAAATTCTATTTCAATTACATCATACCTTAGGAACCTTATAATTGTAAACTATAATGAAACTATTATTTTGAATGAAATTTAAAAAAAACAAAAAAAATAACGAAAATAAGCAAATTCATTTTAGTCGACTTTAGTTCACAACATGAATAAAGGTTCATTGTCCTGCAAGAAATGAGGGAGGTTCACCAAATTTATGGCCAACTTGGCCAGCGGGGTGAGGTAGGCGACTGGCTCAGCTCCGAAGTCAGACGGGTCCGTTGAGAGTGCTTCCAAGAGGATCCTCAGCTTGTTGGTCTTGGCGATCTCCAGCCGGTAGACCACCCGCGAGTTGGGGTGCAGGGAGATGGTTATTCCCTAGGGAATGTGCACGTCTCAATGTAAGAGGCAATATCATAGGAATAATTTTCATTTATTTTATTTCTGATGTTATTCAAAAGCATTAACATCAATCAAACATATACATTTATTAAAATACTATACTAATACTAATACTAACTATCCCTTCATATACTAAAACATGTTTTAATATGAAGGGAAATAAAAATTGTGGTTGAAAGGCTGATTATTTTCAATGTGTTGGGTGGATCCATAGTTTCCTTCGGTTTTCGTTAGTAGTGCGAATTGTTTTCAAATATATTCATTTCTCTTTGCCTTATCTGACAATAATGATACTTTTGGGAAATGTCAAAGTCCGCTTTTCGAAACTGCTGTGTTTGGTTTGATTGGCATTAGTTTTGTTTTTGCTACTATATAGTGAATATGTCAAATGATAAAGTGCATTTTTGGCATATTTTGCTTTCTTTAAAAAGAAGGAAAACGAAAAGTGGGATTCAAAATTCCACCGAAAGAGATGTAAGGTATACGGGGACGATGCCTTAACAGAACATAATACTGCTCAAAAATGATTTGCCAATTTTCGTTCAGGAGTATGCAAGTCTCGAAAAAACACAGCAATCAATCCACCGAGATTGATTCGAATGATATCGAGGCTCCAATCGAACATGAACCGTCGATACAGGTACGAGAAAATACGAAGACACTGAAAACAGTTTTTAGAACAGTTAAGAAGCATTTATTTCTGAAACTATTAGTGACGGTTGTTAGAAAGTGGCTCATCTACGACAAAGTATTGCGTAAGAGATCTCTTGAACAACGGCTGACGAGTCGCCAAATGCCACTCCTGAAGGCCCGGCCTACATCCAAAATATATTTTGCTCTCCATATGGCAGAATTATCACGGCGTGCTGTTTTACGAGTTGCTTCCACAAGGAAAAACGATTGACTCGAAGATCTACTGCATGCGGCTAACCAAATGAGGACCATAGTTGCGACAAAGATGTTGTATTCCATCATGACAACGCTCCGCAAGCTAGTGCAACTTGACTGGGATATTTTCTTACACCCATCGTATTCTATGGATATTGTACCATCCGACTACCACTTATTCCGATCCCTCCAAAACTCCTTCAACAAAAAATAGTGCACTGTGGGAGGGATGTGAAAACTTATCTCGATCAGTTATTCGCTTCTACGTCCTAGATGTTTCACGAGAGCGGAGTAATTATACTGTCAGAAATATGGCAGAAAGTCATTAATAAAAATGGAGAATACAATTTTAAATAAAATTTATTTGTAACTTATGGATACACCTCATAGTATATATGGTCGGTTTATTGCAAAAAAAATCATTAAGTAATATATCATAATCTTGCTTCACTATGAATTTTCCATCAGAAAAATCTAAGGTTGTTGTAACTGCGTTTGATCAATAAAATTATTTGTATTATCTTAGTCCACTTCAGTGTTGGGCAAAAATTATCTATAGCTAACAGATAACAGATAACAGCTAAATTAGCTATTAGCGGGCAGATAATTCTGCAACTAAATTAGCTATTAGCGGGACCAAGCCGCTAACTTTTAGCGCAAGTTAACTTTTAGCTGTTCTTACCGCTAACCGCTAATTATCTTTATCTGTATCTTCAACTAAAAGCTAATAGCTAATTCTTCGGATTTCATTGGTCTTAGAGTCGACTATTAGGTTTTGGGGGGCGCTTTTTATGAAAATAATGTCGGATTTTAGGTGTGACCTTCCCCCCCCCCTCGGGAACCGACTTATCGTAACTTTTCTGATTTTATCGATATCAGTGCCGATTATTAGGTTTTGGGGGGTGCTTTTTATGAAAATAATGTCGGATTTTAGGTGTGACCCCTCCCCCCCCCCCGGGCACTGACTTTTTATAACTTTTCTGATTTTATCGATATATGGGTCGACTATTAGGTTTTGGGGGGGCTTTTTATGAAAATAATGTCGGATTTTAGGTGTGACCCCTCCCCCCCCCCGGGCACCGACTTTTTGTAACTTTTCTGATTTAATCGATATATGGGTCGACTATTAGGTTTTGGGGAGCGCTTTTTATGAAAATAATGTCGGATTTTAGGTGTGACCTCCTCCCCCCCCTCGGGCACCGACTTATCGTAACTTTTCTGATTTTATCGATATATGGGTCGACTATTAGGTTTTGGGGGGCGCTTTTTATGAAAATAATGTCGGATTTTAGGTGTGACCTCCCCCCCCCCCTCGGGCACCGACTTATCGTAACTTTTCTGATTTTATCGATATCAGTGGTCGACTATTAGGTTTTGGGGGGCGCTTTTTATGAAAATAATGTCGGATTTTAGGTGTGACCCCTCCCCCCCCCCCGGGCACTGACTTTTTATAACTTTTCTGATTTTATCGATATATGGGTCGATTATTAGGTTTTGGGGGGTGCTTTTTATGAAAATAATGTCGGATTTTAGGTGTGACCCCTCCCCCCCCCCCGGGCACTGACTTTTTATAACTTTTCTGATTTAATCGATATATGGGTCGACTATTAGGTTTTGGGGAGCGCTTTTTATGAAAATAATGTCGGATTTTAGGTGACACGCTCCCCCCCCCCCGGGCACCGACTTATCGTAACTTTTCTGATTTTATCGATATATGGGTCGACTATTAGGTTTTGGGGGGCGCTTTTTATGAAAATAATGTCGGATTTTAGGTGTGACCTCCCTCCCCCCCTCGGGCACCGACTTATCGTAACTTTTCTGATTTTATCGATATATGGGTCGACTATTAGGTTTTGGGGGGCGCTTTTTATGAAAATAATGTCGGATTTTAGGTGTGACCTTCCCCCCCCCCCTCGGGCACCGACTTATCGTAACTTTTCTGATTTTATCGATATCAGGGTCGACTATTAGGTTTTGGGGGGCGCTTTTTATGAAAATAATGTCGGATTTTAGGTGTGACCTCCCTCCCCCCCTCGGGCACCGACTTATCGTAACTTTTCTGATTTTATCGATATATGGGTCGACTATTAGGTTTTGGGGGCGCTTTTTATGAAAATAATGTCGGATTTTAGGTGTGACCTCCCCCCCCCCCTCGGGAACCGACTTATCGTAACTTTTCTGATTTTATCGATATCAGTGCCGATTATTAGGTTTTGGGGGGTGCTTTTTATGAAAATAATGTCGGATTTTAGGTGTGACCCCTCCCCCCCCCCGGGCACTGACTTTTTATAACTTTTCTGATTTTATCGATATATGGGTCGACTATTAGATATTAGGGGGCGTTTATTATAAAAATATTGTCGGATTTTAGACACGGCTCCCACCCCCCCCCGGGAACACCGACTTTTTGTTATTTTTCTGATTTAATCGATATATGGGTCGACTATTAGGTTTTGGGGAGCGCTTTTTATGAAAATAATGTCGGATTTTAGGTGTGACCTCCCTCACCCCCTCGGGCACCGACTTATCGTAACTTTTCTGATTTTATCGATATATGGGTCGACTATTAGGTTTTGGGGGGCGCTTTTTATGAAAATAATGTCGGATTTTAGGTGTGACCTCCCTCCCCCCCTCGGGCACCGACTTATCGTAACTTTTCTGATTTTATCGATATATGGGTCGACTAATAGGTTTTGGGGGGACGCTTTTTATGAAAATAATGTCTGATTTTAGGTGTGACCTCCCCCCTCCTCGGGAACCGACTTATCGTAACTTTTCTGATTTTATCGATATCAGGGCCGATTATTAGGTTTTGGGGGGCGCTTTTTATGAAAATAATGTCGGATTTTAGGTGTGACCCCCCCGGGCCTCGACTTTTTTTAACCTTTTAGATTAAATGGATATCAGGGTCTACTCTTAAGTTTTCGGGAGCGCTTTTTATTAAAATGATATCGAATTTGAGATTGGGCTCCCCGGGCTTTGACTTTTTTTTAACTTTTCCGATTATATCGATATTAGGGTCGACTATTATGTTTTGGAGGGAACTTTTTATGAAAATGTTATCAAATTTGAGATTGGGCCCCCCGGGCACGACTTTATTAAACTTTTTTGATTATATCGAGATCAGGGTCTACTAATACGTTTTTGGGGGAGCGCTTCATATGAAAATGATATCAAATTTGATATTGGGCTTCCCGGATCTCGACTTTTTAAAACTTTTTTGTTTAAATCGATATTAGGGTCAACTCTTATGTTTTGGAATTCGCTTTTTATGAAAATGATATCGGAATACGAATCATTTTCATGAATTTTGAGATAGTACCCCCGGGCTCCGACTTTTTGTAACATTTCAGAATTAAGTGATATTAGAGTCAATTATTAGGTTTTGGGGGGCGCTTTTTATGGAAATGATGTTGGATTTGCCCGGGGCCCGACTTTTTGTAACATTTCGGATTATATCGAACCCATATATCAATTTAATCAGAAAAGATACCAAAAGTCGGTGCTCGGGGGCACTCTCTAAAATCCGACATTATTTTCATAAAAAACGTCACCGAAAACCTAATAGTCACCCAATATATCAATTAAATCAGAAAAGTTACAAAAAGTCGGTACCCGGGGGCACTATCTAAAATCCGACATTATTTTCATAAAAAGCCCCACCGAAAAGCTAATAGTCGATCCACATATTGATTTAATCGAAAAAGTTTTAAAAAAGTCGAGGCCTGGGGGGCCCAATCACAAATTCGATATCATTTTCACAAAAATCGTTCCCCAAAACGTAAGAGTTGACCCTGATATCGATTTAATCAAAAAAGTTAAAAAAAAGTCGAGGCCCGGGGGGCCTAATCTCAAATTTGATATATTTTCATAAAAAGCGAATTCTAAAACATAATAGTTGACCCTGATATCGATTTAATCAAAAAAGTTTAAAAAAGTCGAGGTCCGGGGAGCCCAATATCAAATTTGATATAATTTTCATAAAAAGCGCCCCCCATAACGTAAGAGTTGACCCTGATATCGATTTAATCAAAAAGTTAAAAAAGTCGAGGCTCCGGGGAGCCCAATATCAAATTTGATATAATTTTCATAAAAAGCTCCCCCCAAAACATAATAGTCGACCCTAATATCGCTTTAATCGGAAAAGTTAAAAAAAGTCGAGGCCCGGGGGGCCCATTCTCAAATTCGATATCATTTTCGTAAAAAGCGCCCCCGAAAACATAAGAGTAGACCCTGATATCGATTAAATCAGAAAAGTTGCAAAAAGTCAGTGCCCGGGGGGGGGAGGGGTCACACCTAAAATCCGACATTATTTTCATAAAAAGCGCCCCCCAAAACCTAATAGTCGGCCCTGATATCGATTAAATCAGAAAAGTTACGATAAGTCGGTGCCCGGGGGGAGGGGGAGAGGTCACACCTAAAATCCGACATTATTTTCATAAAAAGCGCCCCCCAAAACCTAATAGTCGACCCATATATCGATAAAATCAGAAAAGTTACGATAAGTCGGTGCCCGGGGGGGAGAGGGGTTCACACCTAAAATCCGACATTATTTTCATAAAAAGCGCCCACCAAAACCTAATAGTCGGCCCTGATATCGATTAAATCAGAAAAATAACAAAAAGTCGGTGTTCCCGGGGGGGGTGGGAGCCGTGTCTAAAATCCGACAATATTTTTATAATAAACGCCCCCTAATATCTAATAGTCGACCCATATATCGATTAAATCAGAAAAGTTACAAAAAGTCGGTGCCCGGGGGGGGGAGGGGGAGAGGTCACACCTAAAATCCGACATTATTTTCATAAAAAGCGCCCCTGATTACATAACAGTCGATCCTAATATCAATTAATAAAATGAAATAAATAAATTTTCCTCTAGTGTTAGCGTTAAGTTAGCTTTTAGTTAAGTTAATAGATAATTTAGCTTAAGCTAAAAGTTAGCGGTTCGTTTCCGCTAATAGCTAATTTAGCGCTAAAGTTATCTGCGCTAAAACAGCTGGAAGCTAAATTAGCGTAATATTTAGCGCCGCTAATTTTAGCTGTTTAGCGCTACGTTAGCTAGTTAAAAATTAGCGCGCTAACGCCCAACTCTGGTCCACTTACTGTGTTTTTAAAAATTAATAAAGTCAAAATTCAAAAAAACCTTTTTAAAAGTTTAACTTTATTATTTTACTTTTTTTTCTTCAATAAATTGATCTATTTAATATATTGTAATGCCTTTGAGAGTACATTATTAATCCAAAATGTTTGGTAGTAATAAAAATTAATAAGGCTGTTTATTCGTCTTGCAACACTATGGATTGGTAGCTTATCTTCAGAAATCAGTAATTATTTTATTTTTCCATAAACTTTTTTTTTAATAATATTCTTTTTATTGAGAAAAAGAAATACATTTTGAATCAATTAAGGACATTGAGTATTTGGGATGTATGAAACCATCATACCATATATATATATATATATATATATATATATATATATATATATATATAATGTATAATATAATGTATGTATATATATATATGTATATATATATATATATATATATATATATATTGTATGTATGTATGTATATATATATATATATATATATATATATATATATATATATATATATATATATATATATATATATATATATATCAAAATTAATCCAAATGCAAGCATGTTCCAAGTTTTCTTTTCTCTTGTTATAAACTTTCTATTGTTTTATGGTTTTTATTTTGTATATATAACCTTATACCAAATGCTTGCATTTGGATTAATTTTGATGTGCCGATTTTCCATAAACATAAACTAAGTAACGTTTAAGCTAAGTGTTGAGGAATATAACATGTGAATGTTGCTATCAGATCTAGAAAGTATCACGTTGAGTATTTGGCTCGAATAGATCTGATTTTCCTACGTTTATAATAATTATCCTACCTAATTTTTTTCTTTTAATTCAAGAAATTATTTATTTTACATACAAATGAATATTTCTTCGATTTTTATTTTGACATCGTGGCCGAAATCATTTGTTTTAAACCTAATTTTAGAATAGGATAAGAAATTCATTTTATTTTCCTTATATATTAGTTAACATGTAAATTAATAATCATAACGTTTTAGTATGAAATTCATTTTTAACAATTACTTACAGTTTTTTTGATTGATTTGTCTTCTGGATCAATGTATTTAAAACTGTTTCCAGACAAGACTGTGTAAATAAAGGGTTTCTTTCCATGCTGGCTGGCAATGAGCATTTCGTTATTAATGATGAATTCCATGTAATCTCCAATTACTAAGAACTCCTTTGTATCTATCTTGTCGTACAGTAAGCTACAGAAAGATTACTTAGTTAAAATAGGGGTGGAATTTAAATAAATATTGATAGTTATTTTTAAATACAGAACGGATTATGGCCTAATGCTTAAAGAATACCTGGCTGTAAAATATCTGCCGTGCTGCAGCCAGTGGTGGTACATGAGGTCTCGTACCGGAAGCCTCATGTGGTAAAGAACTGACAGCCATGCCAGCATTCCCCAAATCCCATCCTTTTCTAGCATGTGGGAAGAACCCACTCTGATGATTAAAAAAACTTCGTTAAATAAATGTATTTAATATTAAGGACTAAATATAATACCTGTACTTTTGGCCACATTAAGAATAAGAAATTTCACCGAGCAGCTTTTCCTTTATATTTTTATTAATTTACGTTTTGATCAATCAGATTTTCCCTTTTTTTTCCCAGAACAAAATTTTAAAAAAACCTTCTTTTCAAATAAATACAAACTAATACGTAATATTACATGTGACTACTCCTGTTATGTCTGTTTTACTAATATCATTAAACATATATTTAACAGTGCTCAGATTAGGTATTGATTGTTGCCCTTTTTTATCCTCCCAACCTTTGAATTTCCCTAAAAAGGGGAGTTTCTTCGCCATAGTGTAAACCCTGTCACCGAGAGGAAAAGCGAACGTAGAGTAGGCTGCAATGCTGGAACACATTTCAGCTGAATTTTATGGCTCTGATCCGTTGTTCGAAAATATCTTTGTCCGTGGTACAGACCACTTTTTATAGAATTATTAACATCCGCCTGAAACTTCGTAAATAGTTTCATCTCATCGTAACATACAACTACGATTATTTACGATAACTCTTGGAATTGGGACGTTTTCAATCTTTTTTTTTTTCTCTTATGCCAGTCGTTGGTCATTTGGCCATCCGTCATCTTGCTGCCCAGTATAATTTAGACTTTCTGATATATATACTTCAAAATATTTTTTCTCTTATGTCCCTCAAGGCAGGAAATGCGTCTAGATGGTCTGCATCCATTTTTCCTTGATGACACAGTTTACAGGTAGGATCCTCAGCCACGACTATATTGTAGAGATGACTTTGCAGATAGTCGTGACCAGTGGCCAAGCGGAAGCAGGCAATTGCATCTTTTCTCAGCAGCTCAGCGTTTTCAATCTGGAGAGGGGCAAACATTGTCTATTTAATTTGGTACTAAGAACTCGTAAATATCCATTTGCCTTTCTACTTGGATCGTAAGATAATTTGATCACAAAATCGATAAAAAAAGGTGGCCTAAGCTAACGTATCGCAGGCAGTAAGGACTTTAGAAGTAACACTGATACAGTATTATACTATAAATATATGCGTCGACTAGAAAAGTTCAATCCAGGTTTCCTACAAGAGTATGACAACAAAATAATGTGTCTAGGTTTCCTGGCAAGTGTATGATTTCAAGAGTTATATATATATACTTGACCAGTTAGGGGGAGGGTGAAGGAATTCTGGGAGGTCTAAGAAGCCTCGGGTCCGGGTCCGTGAGAAAACCTTTTGCTGAAATCTGTTATTGTTGCCTAGGTTTTGATAATGGGTCTTGTATCCAGTCGTTGCCTTTTAGACAGCTATCAGAGATAGCTTGTCCTGTCTATCTAGTGATAGTCTTGCCTTTTTGTCCTTTGACTTAGGGGAATTGTCAATACATGATTCATCAATTGGCACAGTTAATAAACTCATCATTATTTTTTACGGATTAAGTCCATTCCGTTACCCCAAGAAGATTCTCATCTGAATGAAATTCATGCTTGGCAAAGAATGCAAGATTAGGACTCGAACTTAAGCTTCGAAACTGGAGAGGATCCTGTAACTGTGCACAGGATGAAATCAATTGTCAACAAAGGCTATCGGAGGTGGTCCTGCGTGCTTCTCATTATTATTATTATAATATCACTTATATTTCAAATGTTTCAAGGAGAAAAAGGATATATATCTAATACTACAGTGTACCAGTTTTAACTAAATACTATTAAAGCTTAGGTTACATACCCATAATGGTCATCTCCAGCAAAGGAAATCTGTTCTTTCTTGATTAGGTCACATATATACGTCCAGTTAAGAGGAGTTTCATACAAAGGCTTTTTCATTGGCTCTACAACGCTAAAAAAATAATAATAAATAATGTGTTTAAGAGTTTCTACAATAATAAGTTAATTAATAAAACCTGTCTAGGGCTTTTGACGTGGTAAAGCTCCTTGCAAAACCGTTGATCCCATGTAGCTGGAAGTATGGTATGCAATGCAGGTGCTTAGCTAAAATAGCTATAGAATCTCCTGAACTAACATGATAGGCCCTTCGTCCCATCACCATTACCCTGTCCTGCCAAAATAATGGTAAATTACTAATAAGATTTCTTGCTATTTGACATCATAAAGTAATGATAAATAATTACACCGAGTGTGTCTAGAGCAAATCCTGCGTTGTAATTGCCCGTATTTAGCCCTTGCACAAGAGCTCTTGAATTCCTCGGACTTGGGTAACCTGTATTGAAATATTCTTCAGGAGTAGCGTTTACAACAGTTCCCGAACAGGCACCGAGGTCGTATTCCAGAACTTCTACCGCGTAAGGTCCAGCAGCTGATGTTGAATAGGAATCAGAAAAACGGAATAGGAATAAAATATTTCGATATTATTACAAGTAAGGGAATGGTTCTGATAAAATATCTATTCCACAATTGTCACATCAATCAATTCATGACATGTAATGAAATTAACATTCGTTTAGTGTTTTCCCTATCAAAATTATTTTCCAATCTATTTATTTTTATTCAGAAGGTTTGCATTATGTAAGTAGCATCTACTGCTTGAACACAAATAAGCTCAGCTGAAATTAACTATACAAAATATATTTAACAGGTTTCTTCTTGATATTTTAAAAGTTTTAATTGCATATATCGAACTAATCGATATTTTTCCTTACGATTTTCAAAGAGAATTAAACTTACACTTTTTGGAGGGATTATCATAAATATTTTTTTTATTTTACGAGAATCATCGTTCATCAGAAGGAAAAGAACTCGAATGAATCAATCTTCCAATTCCTAACTAAATTCGTTATTGTTTTCAAGAATAGATTGATACTTATTTATTCATATAGGATAGGTATGGCATAACTTTGGCTTAACCAAAAATAGTGGCAGTTCTTTGAGAAGCTGAGAAACGGTCCTCGTTATGATAGTGCCATAAACACACATGTTACTGAAACATTAAAAATGAGCACCATCATTCGGTAAATAATTTAAACCGAAAACTACGAAGTTTGAAGGACCATTTACTCATCACAACCCTCCTTCTAGAAAGACTACCGATCGTTTTCTCCTAGTAATTCATTTAAATTAACGACGTAAAAATATATTTCCTAAGAAATAAGCAATTTTTTTAAGATAAGTAAGTAGAAATACTGCAAATTAAATAAGAATTATAATAGTTATAAATTATGTGTTCAGAGGTTGTCATTTTTTTTCTTAAATGATAATTTATTTAACTTTTCATAATTTTAACTTCTTGGAATGGTATCCCTTGTACTGCATTAATGGTGTGCTTTGTAAGGGAGTTATGAGAAATTCAAATTTTTGAAAATTGATAGTTGCCGAAACGATAGTCTAGTGATGGAGCTCTTGTTGTCTTCTGTCGGTCCAGTTAGCCTGTAGTCCGTAGTCTGGTCAAGCCTGAGGAGTTTTGTGTGTGTTTCCACCTCTGTGGCCGTTCCGTCGGAGTCAGTTTTCAAAATAGCGGATTATTCGAGTATTGCGGACTATCAACAAATTTGATGTGCCTGCGTGTTATTAAGTCTGTTACAGTCGATAGTTCTAAGGTCTTGTGGAGTTGGTCTGTTTTTCTTCACTGTAATGAAGTGTTCCTTACAATGATACGCCTCAGAACTCCGTTTTCGAAACTGCTGAAACTTAGTTGCCGTTGATGCTGATATTTATTAACATTGGTGCTCGATAAAGAAGGGCCGATCTTAAATTGCTTTTATAAATTAATAATTTGAGGCAGCGAGATTTGGTGAAGTCAATAAATACATTTATTTTTATTTTAATTTTCTGAAAGAAATTACTGATAGTAGTAAACTTCGGAATAATATATTGTTTTCTGCTTGCAAAATATCGATCAAAACGGCGAATGGTTTTATACACTCCAGGTGTTCAGAAATATATTGGAATTCCTCTACACTGGTTAGATGTTTTAAATTTAATGCTCTGAATAGTTGGTAGCTTTTTTCTTTAATAACGACCATTTGTTTAACTGTCGTAAAGAGAATTCCAACTAGTTTCTATAGGGCGAGAAAGATTGTGACCCAATATGTCGAGAATAATTTCAGCTGTTTTTGGTCTAACAGCTGGTTTCCATAGATTATTACATTTTTTTAGTAAGTTATCATGAATAATTGACAACTCTACAAAAGTTTCGATAGCTTTGGTACAATCTGTTGAAACACATTTATTATATGACTACAACATCTTATGTAACAAGATAAAAATCTTGATAAACCAGAAATATCTCCGCGAGTTTCATTTCCATCGGCGTCATGTCCACTTTCTGATAAGTCAACAGTTGAAATTGGCTCCAAAAATGTATTATCGAACGATTTTCGGTTTCGAGTAGAGGAAGATTGTTCATCTACTCTAGTTTCTGGGATATATAATTGGTTAATTGCTTGTTTCGAAGCAGTTTTAAAGATAGTGCATCCTTTGAAGTTTGCCGGGTGTTCACCATTGCAGTTGGCACAAGTAGCCGGAGTTTCTCTTGGTTTTGTGCAGAATGCTGTAAGATGTGGTACTGCGCACTTGACACATTTGGCAGGAAGGCTAAAGTAGCCTTTTGTATGGCCATAGGCCTGGCATCTTTGGCATTGTGGTGGTTCTTTTCGCATGTCGCATGTATGGCTCTTCAATTTTTATTAATGTATAATACAAATATTCATGTTTGAATATTTCCTGATTTTTGGAGTGTTGTTTCAGATCAATAAAGAATATCGGCAAAAGAAATTTCGTTTTTGGATGTTGTGCGTTGGTTATATTTTTAACTTTATGTCCCTGATCATTAAGTTCAACTGTAATGTCATCAGTTGAAGTTGTAGGGTGGAGATTTCTAATAACTATGCGAAAATATTTTTCTTTCTGGAGTGGGTATGTATGAAATACGATAGTCATCTGAAGTGGACGGGTAGATAGTTGTCTGATTCATGCTGCAACTGTAGTAAAATCCTCGAGGGCCTACTTCAGATGCCAACCTTTGACATAAAGTTTTAAAATTTTGGACAGATTTCACATGAATAGGAGGAGGCTTTAAAATTATGCAACGTTTTTCTTTATTTCTTGGTCAGTTAGTCGTGGTTCGAGACGCGGTTTCTTTAGATGCGGTGATTTGAATAGAGATAGGTTGCAATGTTGGTTTCTCGCGGATTTCGTTCTTAGGAAGTTCTGGTTTATCTAACTTCGAAAGTTTTACAAAAGCTGGAGCTCGCTTTTTAGTTGTTGCAGTTTTTGGTTTTTGTGTTTTGGTCATCCTACAAGTCTTAAGGTGACTTGTAAGTTGATGGTTGATCTCTTTTACTTGAAGTTAGTCGACGTCTTTGTCTAACCGTCTATATATTATTCTTACAGATATCTAACCTTTTGTTTTCAAAAGTAGTATTCCTTTTCAAAAAAAAAAAAAACTCTTCAAGCTTGACGTTTTGCCTTTCAACACTTCCGTCTTGAAGTTTAAATGCTCTTCTAGTCTTTTCTTGATAAGTAAATTCGGTTCAAATATCGATTAAATTTGTATGTTGATTAACATTTCAATTGTTTTGCCCAAATAAATCAATTCTTCTACGCATTCTACCAGTTTATTGTCTACATAGATTGAAATTTCAGCAGAGTTTGTCATTATTTTAGTTTTTCCCATATTCATTTTCAGTCCATATTTTTTACAGGTTTCTACTAATTCTCCAATCATTACTTTAAGGCCATCTATGTTCGAGGATATTAAATATATGTCGTCAGCAAATCTTAGATTGCTCAGTGTTTTCCCATTGACTGATATTCCCTGGTTCTCCCAATTCAATTCTTTTAACAGTTTGTTTAGAACACAATTGAATAAATTTGAAGATAAAGAGTACCCTTGTTTGACTCCTCGTTCAACTTCAAAGTAATCATCTTCTCTATCTAAAGCTAAAAAATGCCTTTCCATTCCTATATAGTTCAGTGATTACATCAAAGTAGAGTTTGTCAACTCCACATTCGTTTACGGCTTCCCAGATATATTTATGTCTGATCGCATCAAATGCCTTGGAATAGTCAACAAAACATAAGTAGACTTGCAAGCCATATTCTTTACTTTTCTCGCTGATTTGTTTAACACTTTGAAGTTGATCTTTTGTATTAAATGTGGGTCGAAATCCAGCTTGTTCTATATCATGGTCCTGGTAAATAGGGTTTATAATTCTATTTTTTATTATATTACAGAAGAGTTTATATGAACTTTGGGTGAATGAGATAGGGCGAAAGCTCTTTTCCTAAATTTTCCTTTTTTATGCAGAACAACAATCTTGCTCACTTTCCACTCGCGTGGTACTGACGTTTCCTTAATTATTTTATTAAAGATAATTCTGAGAGGTTTTGTTAATGCTTCTTTCCCTTCAATAATAAGCTCGTTAGGAATACCATCACTACCTACTGCCTTTTTCTTTTTCAAGCATTCAATTGGCTTTTCTACCTCTTCTTCCAGAATACTTAGGTCCTCGTTGTTTTCTTCTTTTGTTATTTCCTAATCGTAAAGAGAATTCCATCTAGTTTCTATAGGGCGAGAAATATTACGACCCAATATATCGAGAATAATTTCACCTGTTTTTGCTCTAACAGCTAGTTTCCATAGAACATTACATTTTTTTAGTAAGTTATCATGAATAATTGACAACTCTAAAAAAGTTTCGATAGCTTTGGTACAATATGTTGAAACACATTTAATGTATGACTACAACATCTTATGTGACAAGATGAAAATCTTGATAAATCAGAAAAATTACTGCGTGAGTTTCATTTCCTTCTTCGTAATGTTCACTTTGTGAAAATTCAACAATTGAAATTGGCTTAAAAAATGTATTATTGCTCGATTCACAGTTTATTAGCCTACTCCTTACTCCAAAAAGTCGAAAGGATTTATAAAATTACTATCGTTGTCTGTGAGCGTAGCTACTTATCATACTGTTTGACAATCCATATTGATTATATATTTCTTTTAATAAAAAAGTGATTCGATTTGTTCAGTCGGCTGAATCGGTCTTACCACTCATTCATCATAACCAATTTAACTCATTCAGGTGAATGTTTCGAAAACGACGATAAGCCAAAGCTAACGTTTTTCTTTCAAATTTATCGGTTATCCAGTGCATAGTAGCTCCCAAGAAACTTCTTTTTCGGGCCTACCAAATGTCACAAGTTTGTACAAATGTAAGTTGTTTCTTTACATATAACCCTCAATTTTCGTTCACACTATAAATAATATCGATCACTTTTCTTCCCAAAGTTTGCCGACTAAAGATGTCTATATTGGTGTTTTCAAGTTTAAGTTCGTCGAATATTTCCTTGAAATACTTGTTTTCAACTAACCGCAGAGGGACCATCCCATCAATTACAAATTTTATTAATGCTTCATTAAATGTTTCTATTTTTTTAATTTGTAGTTGAGGTATTATTTTTAACTCTTTTTGCTGATGATATATAGGTTTAACGTTTTCCTCTCACGTTTAACGTTAGGTTTAATGTTTTTATTATTTATATTTACATTTTTAGGAAGGTAAAGCATGCAAGTGCCGATACATATGTCACCATCAGAACTTTTTAATTTGATAAATTTAACGCCTCTATTGGTGATCTGGAAGTTTGAAGTCCTATTCTCTTCTGCATTTGATGAATCAGAGATCGGAACGCCACTGATCCTTTTTTGGGAAGTTGTCTAAGGATTTGGGACGTAAGAGGATCATATCCAGCGAATTTTCGGGGTTTTAATTTGTTTATTAGGAAGCTGACCTCGGATGGGCTAACAGGATTTGAGATAGAGACAGGATTCCGTAACTTCAGCAGTGTGAGTGGGATGGAGCTCGGGATGAGGATACACATACACACGGGGAGCTGGAGTGAATGTGTAGGATAGATGATCTGACGAAGTCCAGGAACCATCATAACGACAGAGGGGGTGGGAAATGGAGTGGGATTTAAAAAATTTTTTTGGTTGCATTCCAGAGGGAGTTATCACTTGGAGATAGTGAGAAAAGGTAGAAATTGTAGGATTGGGATCTAAAGGTTTCCATTTCCTTTTTATTAGTTTAGAACAATAATTAAATAACTTGCGGTCATCAGGATGTTCTTTGCCAGATGGCCTTTAGAGCATCGTTTGTTTACTGTGGATTAGGTCCAGTAGGTCTTGGGGTAGGTGATTTATCTTACGGTATTTTTTGGGATGATGAGGTGAGGGTGTAGTACTGTATTGAGGTCTTGTCTTTATGAATAATGAGGAAGCATTTGGAACTCGTTATCGCTCGGATTCTAATAATTTGGGAATCATTAATTTCATCAGGAGATTATTCCAAATAAATTTTATTTTAAAACGATGAACGAGTTTCTTTTGAAAACTTGACGCACTCATTCCTCAGACTAACCGCTATGAATAAATCACACCACAACGAAAATCGAACAAATCAATTCTGGTACATAAATAAAAGAAAAATGTTTCTTTTAGCTGATTTTTACAAGAAAAGTGGAACTCCGACTTATGTATAATATAATAAAGTATTGAAATCCATCTACTAAGTAACCAAACTCTATCGGTTTAAGTCTGTCAGTTCAGGTGAAGAAATTACACTTTTATTTTGATGAGAAGATGCTCTGATAGCTATTGATATATATTTTTTTAATTTGAAAATTGCTTATTGTAAAAAATTCTCAAGATCACTATATTTTATTTGTTAATATTAAAAATATAAAAAATACCTCCTTTCATGCAATCAACTAAAATCCTCACTGGAATACTGACTATTTCGTCACCACACAATAATTTTCTAATTTTGTCATAATCGAAGATTGTTTTTAAATAGTCAGCATACATCCTCACTGCGTTTACCACAGTCACGCTCATCAAGTGGTTTTCGACCTGAGAAAAAAAATATAATATATTTAATTATCCTTAGAGAATCGACTTCAGGCAGGCCTACGATAGCATTAATAGAAAGGAGATAATAAAAGTTGTGCTGAAACTAGGGGTCCCTACAGAATTAGTGAAATTAACTCGGATGACTCTATCAGACACAAGCTGCAAAGTCAAAAATATATGTTTAACTTTTATAATAAGAGATAAGACCTCAAAAAGAATAGTTTTTACTTAATTTTTTTTTAATACATAATGACTATTACGTTATATACTAAAAACGTTTTAAATAGAATGATAATATGATGACATGTGACAAGACAGTCTAATTATATCGTTTTATTGTATACTGACTTGAACTGAATTTTATTCTGAACCAGTCAAATTAATTAATAACCTTAGAATAATATGCTATTTTGAAGGAGAAAAAATACATATTTATATATTACCCAGAAAATATGTGATGTTAACTCGTCCAGTGGGAAATTTATTCCCAAGGCATAACTTACTGTTTCCAACTTTTTCGCAATATCACGAATGGCCTTGAGAAGTGGTTCTGAAGCAACGCCTAATAGGACATCAGTGAATATTAGTTTTATAAATAGTTATTTAAAGACGCATTTTCAATCATGCATCAACATTTTCTATTTTAGAAAGTTAGTTTTAACAAATGTATTTATTTTATTTCGCCTCTATCCTATTTTAACAAATTATACAAATCCTATAATAACAAACCCATTAATTGGATTTGATTGTTAAGTGTTATTATTTATTTGAGTTGTATTACCCCCCTCCCGACCCCCGAAAAGTTTATACGAAGTTTATATGAAAAGTTAAGGTATAATAAAAAAAGTATGAAAAACAAATCAATCGCTGTTATATGATAAATAATGCTTGAATAATCCCATCAAACTACAATGTTTTGAAAACGCTGCAATTATTAATTAATGTTTATGGTTACATAGTACTGAGTTATGTGGAAATAATTAAACATTACGTAATAGTTGCAGCGTTTTTTACTTTTGCTTGCCTTTTTTTTTTTTAATCTGAGTTTTCAACGGAAATACACATTTTGAGGTCTTCTGAGTTCAAATTACCAAGTCCCGCAAAATGGTCTGTGTATATGTTAACAGTTTAGCTCAAAAACGAAAAGACGTATGGAACTGATATTGCATATTTAAGATTTTTATATGCTAGGGATGTTACAGCAACTTTTTCGTCAAAATCGCACTGCATATAATGAACTAAACACATTTTTACGATTATCTCGAAAACCGCTCTAACGATTTTGATTACAGCAATTAAAACTGTAACGATTCGCCATTCCTAGCATATAGGGGCGAGGGTTATTCTAGAGGTACAACCAAACCTTTTCTAACCATAGGAAGGTCGAGGTCCATTCCATGGGTCCGATTACAACCGGCGTTGCCTGTGGGCGGGGTGGCCGAACGGGCTGACGTATGTGCACCGAGCACCACCGTTACCCGGCAAACTGATCTATGAGACAATGGATTTATAAAATAGTCATGAGTTCGCATCCTGGTGCCGGGAGAGTATTTTTAATTCCTCGTCCACACCCCCTGGACCGGGAAAACCCCGTATAGCTTTAAAGGCGAGGAAAGAAGGTCCCCCCCCCCCAAAAAAAAAAAAAAAAAACTGCCGTCGCTAGATTCGAAAATGTTAAAGTTTACGCTTTAACACGCTCGACCATTATGATCTCTTAAATTACTCACTTCCGTCTTCGACAAAGTACTTGATCCCGAAGTAACCGTCGATGCCGGCGGGCATACAGCTGGCCGAGAGGAGGATACCACCAGTGGCCTTCATTTTCCGCACCAGGAGGCACATCGCGGGAGACGTCAGAATTCCGTCCTTAGCTGTCACGATTTGGCCAACCTGATGAGCCATTAAATTTAAATTAATTATGTGGTTATGAAGTTGCTTAGATTTTTTAAATAATATTTATTTACAAAATGTATGCCCCACTACAAAATACCAAAATCTTTTTCATTCCTCGAGATCAAAGACGCAGCTTTTCAACAAATATTCACTAGTAAGTTCAATAAATATTTTAAGGATCTATAATGCATTATTTTTGTTATATATATATATATATATATATATATATATATATATATATATATATATATATATATATATATGTATATATATTTTTTGTTGTTGTTCCATTTGAAATTATATCTATATCTCCCATTTATATGATGCATTCAGATAAAATCCTATATGATAGAAGCGATCAAACACCATCATTAAAAAGTCAGATTAAAATTCTTTACATTGGCGGGTGGTATACTTCTTCTCATTGAAGAATTGATATCACTCGATTTGAAAATTGATTGGAATAGAAGCGAGGAATGTTTTACAATATGTTTATACAACACTCAAGTGATTCCTGCATTTCCTCTAAAATAAATGGAATCCAAACATTTAATTTAAATTCCATTGTATTTTTCAATTTTTTGGGAGATGATAAAACCTTTACTTTCCACTGCTACTTGCAGTTTATTCTCGAATCAAGTTCGATCAAACCCGTTTAATAACTTTAATAGAACAGTATGAATGGGATAGAACTTCGATTGCTTCTCACTTTCTCGGTTTTCGGTGATCCATTAACTGCCTGTTTTAGGTATTTTGATTATAATATTCGAACTTACATTGTTTTAACTTTTGGTCTCATAGATTCGACTTTGCAATATTGTGCAGCACCTTCTTTGTATTCTGAAGTAGTTACCACCTTTTCCTTCTTGATATATCAAATATATGTCGGTAATTTATTACATTATATATATATAATGTAATAAATTACATAATATATATATATATATATATATATATATATATATATATATATATATATATATATATATATATATATTACTTACCTGTAGACCCGCCATGGTTGCTATTACCCTGAAGAAGGCTGGTTTGAAGTAGTAGCGGCCATCTCCTCCCACTATCCATGTGCTCTCGTTCAGAGTTTCCCTTTTCCGTAGGAGGATGGCACTTATGAAGACTTCAATGAATCCCTTTTGCTGGAATTCCCACACCTCTCTCCTTACACCACCACAACCTGTATTCCCATGTTGTACAGATTAAACCTTTAATATAGTCGGTAAGGTTTTAAATACTAGCGAACGTTCATATAGTTAAAGAATAAATATTGAGCTCAAAATGTTCATAGTTCGCTTTAGTTACCATTAGTAATTTTTATATTAAAAAAAGTGGTTCATTCTTTATTTTAGAATCCATTTTTAAATAATATTAATTAATCAACATGTTTTGACCCTTACTATTGGTTATGGTATTAAGCATATTTATTATAAATAAAATAAATAGTTACCGTGAATTATAAATGTTATTCATTTTTTATTATTTGTGTCATTAATTAATATACTTATTATAAAATTTTATCTCTAGATATAACTGCAAAGATACTATTTTGGTTTTGTTTATTAAGTTAATTATAGGTTTATTGAATGATATACAAGGTAAAAATGATTGAAAAAAAATGATATGGAAAGCAGGTTTATGCAACCAGATAAAAATTCTCTCTCTCTCTCTCTCTCTCTCCACCTCTCCTCTTCCTTCCTAGTTATTTCGCTATACCTATACTTTCCCATCCCACAGTAAAAATTACATTTTGGAGAAATCCACGATATCAGATTTACTAAGCTGTTCCTAGGATTTAAAATGTACTCCACTCTTTATTCATCAGCCACGATAATTACAGCCCAACTGGAGAGGATAAATCAGCTCTTGAACAGATTTAAGTAATAATAATGACTATAGAAAATGTATATGCGGGGAAGACATAAGTGACCTATGTCGCCGACTGTAATTTCCAGCAATGACCTCATTCCAGACGATACCATTCGCTCTGTTGAAAATTTGAAACTTTCAGAAAAAATGTTTGAAGAAGGTCAAAAAGCAGTTACCTGGGCACAGCGAACTTCATCAGAATGTTCTTAAACATAGTTTAACTTTCGAGCCTAATCGTTCACCTTGGTCAGGTTAGGTGGATAGTAAGTGCGAAATTCTAAAATAATAATAAGTTTATTTAAATGACATTTACAGTTTACAAAAATGTACATAAAATCGGTTTGGTGCACAATATTTCACACTAAAGATAATCTTAAAATTATAAACTTATATAAAGAATAGATCTTCTTACAAAGTGAGTGCTCAGTGTTAGGAATAAACGTACAGATAGCTCTGCCTGGGTGTCCTACATTTATATATATATATATATATATATATATATATTTTACCTTCACTTAGGATTATGATTAACTATTATACCCTAACTCTCCCACTCCTCATAATCGTCTTTTAAAGTCAGAGAAGTTATCCTGTTTGTTCGACAGGAGAATGGCTTCCAGAACAAAGAAACAGTTGGTCTTTGTTTTGTGAATCACAATAATCCCAGTTTTCAGAGTGAATCGCGAAAAAGAGGCAGTTCTTGCTGGCGACTGAGACTTTCTGATCTAATCCCGGAAAATTCAGTACACTTCACATCAAATCAGATACCACCTGTGTTATTGAAGCTTTCTACGAGGGCCGTTTTCTGTTTATTTTCGGTCTTATACCATATACCATAGCATAATGCTGTGAAGTAATTAATAAACAATGATGTGAAAAATTATTCGAACAAACCAAAATTCTATTAAAATGATATATGTTTCAATTTTAATTTTTTTTTTTATCTTCTTAATTGTAATCTGATTTAATCTTATAGACTTTGTAGATGTAATATATATTTAAATTAGCATTATTTTCAATTAACAACAAGCCCAGCGAGAGCAATCAGTTGTGTTGACTATTTTTTTTATCCTCAGAATAATGCTACCTTATTGTTTAAATTTCATTACTTCAGTAATTGCTCTATTGTTATTGTCAAGAGATGTATAAAATCTAGGAAGTTGAGTGTATATGTGAAAATTGTTCTACTTTTGGAATTCTTTACTTTTTTTTAGATAATTTAATTTAACATCTTGTATTGCATAATTTCTTACTTTTATTTCAGGAAATAGCATAATATCAGATTTTTTATCATTACCTTCCTGAAAAATAAAATTTAAAAAATGATGTTGCTGAGTTTCGTATGAATACAGATCCTACTCGTATGACTACCATTCAAGAGAAATTATGGATGTAACGCATTTTTGCACGCATTCGCAACGCACTGCTTACTTAGTGTGTGTGATCTAAATCGGTAGTTGAGCTAATCTTTAAATAAAAATTGAGTTGATGGTGATATATCTCTATACTTGAGAGGTTGTATTCATGACAGTATTATGATATTATAGTTTCTAATCTCTACAGGGTTATCTTTCCATTGAAAAAAAAAAAATTGCACCAACAAAAAATGATACAACAAAAACATTTCCCCTTTAAACTTATTACCTGGAGTCAGATCTAAATCTTGGCTAAATTTTCCTTTCAAAATATCGATGTTTTGATTTTTCGTACTGGCCCATGTATACCTCTTTAAGCAATTTTGAGTCATATCTGCAATTTTGATATTATTGGGAAAGATTAAGAATTCAAATTTTTTTTTTACAATTTATGATTTAGTTGAACAGATGTTTAAGGTATGTTTCCATGTTTATTATATTAATATTGTTATTACTTCATGAGATAATTTCAGTGTGATAAAATTGGTGCGATGTTTTATAATTTCCGTCCCCACATGGGTGTTGATGACACAAATATCGCTTTATGTAGCCAGATAAAATAATAAGAATCAGCTAGACTAGACCTTTATTGTTAACTAGATTCTGGCTATTAATCCATTATGATTTATTGCATTATTGATTAAACATCGCTTACTGTGATATAATTACAAAAAATATGATATTTATTACTAATCAGTTATGCAATAATTACTATTACTTTTAAAACTAATAATATCTAATATTAGAGGGACTATTGTTGTTGGCGTTTCCCGCCTTTCTGTTCTTTTTTGGTTGGTCCTCAATTTTGGGTTGTTCATCTAGACAATAGCAAACAATGTCCAAGAAGGGATTTGATAATTTGGATGATCAGCATCTCATCGAAATGGTACAACAATACAGAATTCTGTATGACCACCCACCGGCATGCAGACTACAGAAATGTCAAGAAAAACAATCATTGGAAGAAGATAGGGGATTGTTTACAAAAATAAGGTCATTACAACTTTACTTACTATAATTATTAGTTTACTAATTACTATTTTTATTAATTATCGTTGATTACAAAACTTTTCTACGAAGTTATGAACTTTCGGATTGAAAGGTTTCGAACAACGAGACTAAAGGAATATTGGAAACAAACCTCAGGAAGTATACTTGTATATGATTTACGGTATTTTTATTTCTAATGTTTTTCCAAGTTGTTCTGGCTTGGATAGAGTAAAAAATGCTTCCAAACACAAAACATCTTTTTATTGAATTATTTCTTTTTAAATAATATGTTTATAATTGTAATTAAATTACAGGAGGATTTTAAAAGATATTATAAAATTTTAAATGAGAACAATTTTAAACTTAAAATGATTACTTTTATAAAATTAAATTTATAAAGTATAAAAATCATATCCGCTTATTGATACAGGCTGTGAGAGGTGTGGATTAAATAATAAATGATCCAAAAAAACAATTAATAATTTTCGAAAAAAATACAATTTTTAATCTTCTTGATACTTAAGAACTAAAAATAACAAACATAAAACTAAATTTACTTAAAATATACAGATATACAGTGGTATAACGATGGCTATATAATTCTATGTTACAAATAACAGCATGACAGCTGATCAAAATATGCAATAATTTAGGTTGTTTATTAGGTTTGCCAAAGTTTTGACGGAGGCTTCTGCTTGTGAAAATCTTCCTCCGCGGGACAGTGGTCTCATGTTTTGAGGTAAACTCATTTCCTCTTCCAATTGATAAAACGGCTTTCTTTCCTTTTCCAAATATCCATCTCTTAAGAGGTTATGCAGGCAGGCAACAGCTTGTTATTATGATGTCGCAGGTTTCCGGTTTTACATTTATTGTCGAATAAAAAAACCCGAAACACTTGGCATAACAAACCAAAACCATTTTCCGAAACTCGGCGCGCCCGTAAAGGTTTGTTGTTAATATTCGTTTTTGATCTGTCGGTATGGGCGGCTGAGCGGGTAAATGGCTTCAGTATATGCCTTTGTAACCGCCTACCACTACAAATGGGGCCATGGTTTCTGAAAAGGGAAGCTCCTTATCTGGAGGGTAAATATCTCCTTTAATGATCGCTTTCCCCATTTCGGATTTGTTGAAAATGCCACTATCTCATTCTTTACCATGTGAGCCAGCATCTATGGCCATGAAATTGTAATTGGCATCGATTAAGGCTAATAGAACGATGGAAAAATAATTTTTATAATTCCAGTACAGGAAGTCACTCCTCTTCGGGCACCTTATTCTTACATGCTTCCCATCTATGGCTCCACAACAGTTCGGGAAACCCCAAAGTTTCAGAAACTCCGCTGAACTGTTGAGGAATGTTGTCTGAGATGGCGGAGGCATCAGCACAGGCACCAAATTTTTTCGCAGTGCTTGTGATGTTTGTTTCACAATAACGCTCACACAGCTTGGTGATACGCGGAAAGCATACCCAAGCGATGTAAAACTTTCTCCTGTTGCCAAGAACCTGTAAAGAACAGAAATTATGACCAATTATAAAATATCCTAATTAATAATCTATTTCTATTCGAGATCACCATTGCAAGAAGAGATGGAAAGATATTCGCGACAACTATTTTAAAATTCTCAGAAGAGAGAAACTTCCAACGGGGTCGGCTGCGCCCCGTTCATCCAAAAAATGGCCTTTGTTAAACAGCCTCACTTTTTTAAATGAAAAAGAAGGGAACGGTCAAGTTTCTACTGTATTTCTCCAGAGGGGACAGCAAATTTAGTTATATTTCCATCGGACGATGACGACCCCCCTGTTGAAGTGGAGAACAAAAATCCTTCAAGTAAGTCACGCATTCATCAGCTAGTGACTCGACTCCCAGTACGTTTCATAATATCTCAAGGAAAAAACCTTGGGAAATTATTAATAAAAGGAGTGAAGAACGCCTCAAGTTGTTGCAGCGTATGGCTGACAAACAACAACCAGATGATGAATTAGAACTTTTTATGAAAAACATAGCGGCTACTTTGAGAAAGATGCCGCGAGACATCATTGACAAGGCGAAAATTGATATATTATCATATGTGACTGAGCTTAGAAAAAGCATAGAAACGGTAATTATTTGTGAAGAACAATCTGAGAGTAAATAATAAATTAGTTATACTAACTTTTCTTCTACTTTTTCATAATGTTTGTGTTTTTACTCTTATGTTTGGCACTTTTCTTATAATGTTGATCTTTTTGTTTTTCTACGTTAATTTTCTCGAATGTTTGTCTATCTATTGCCTAAGGTGTTAATGATGATACCCTTCAATACATTTATTACTGTATTCGTAATTAGAAAGATATTAACTAACTGACTAGTTAACATGAACTTAGTTGTAGTCTTTATATTATTTCCTTAAAGTGATTGATAATCTTTCAGTAGGTTTAATTGAATCCTGTACTGCATTGGTAATAGTTCCAGCTATATCATTTTCTAATAAGTTTAAAACAAAATTAAACTTATTTTGCATTCATTGGCATTTATTTAATCTAAAAAAAATTCGAAATTTTTCTTCATCTGCCATCAAATGGGTATTAATTAATTTGTTATGAAACCCTTCTCTCTTTCTGGTTCGAAATATATTACTGGTGTTTCTTCACCTTATAAACAACAGTTCCTCTTCTTCTTCCTCAAATAAAAAAGCGGTAGTTAGAGATAGGATGCCCATGTTTTTATCTTCGAAACAGATCTTTTAATCAGGTACGAAGAGACAGCGAAATGTTCGAAGGTTATAGGCAGGTTATAACAACCGCAGTGAGCAGGTTCAGCGAAATAGCTACGCCAACAGCGGTTGGCAGTGTGTGATAGCGGTCGCTGTCGTGGACTGCGCCAGCGAAATAGTACCTTTAAATGATATTTTCTTATATCAGCATAATAAATAGTCAGGAATTTCAGTCATTATTCATATGCACACAACTGCGACTTCTCTATTAGAAAGACTAGATTCTGAAGCTCTGAAAAACTTTTTATTTTCTTAGTGCTCTTATTTATATCCTTTGACATTTCTTTCTTTATCTTCCTTGACATTCAGTATTATTGTCATGTCAGATTTCAGAAAGATGAATTTTTTTGCGATTTGGGAATTGTCTACAAACTACAAAGAGTCCAACAATTTTATTGCATACATCAAATATGTTTTTGTGAAAGTCAATGTAATTTTAGCATTTAATACTTGTCAAAAAAAATCAAGCATATTTAAAAAAAATCTTTTTTATGGTACTACACTCCTCTAGTAGACTAAGAGCTAAGGAGCAACCGACCGTTTCATTTTACTGGGGGGCTTTCATTTTATCCATTTTAAATTGTACATAAACCTCATCTGGATACACAACTTTCGGCAGTCGGTGAATAGCGGTTGCTTTCTACACGAAAATTGAAATTAAAGTGGCGAAATTTAACACTTAATTTAACGGAAGAGCTGACGTCTAAAAATGTTGCTGTGGTAATAAAGAATTTGTCCTTTATAGAGAATTCGCCTTGATTGAGGATGTACTCGTAAGTCATCGAATTAGTCCAGTCGAACGGTAGTTGGATGTGAAAAAATTAGTATAGGCTGTTTTTCTAATGTTTATTTGGGTTGCTGAATCTGAAATCGAAGTTCCTTAACGAAATTTTCCATTGCATACTGAGATATATGCATAAACAGCGAAATTACCGCACGTTTTTTGTTGTTTTTTTTTTTTTTTTTGTCATGCTCCGAGACTATGCATTTTATCGAAATTATTATTTTGTGCAAAGTTAAAGAAGTTAAAATCGACGGGTGAGGAGTTAGATCTGGTTTATAATTTCGTTATGTAACAAGAAATAGCTGTTTCCATCGGATTTTCTGTATATCACCTATGCATATCTCAAAGGAATTCATTATAATCACTTTGAAAGAGCATTAAATTTCCAACATACCTTATGTAGATATATTAATGTGTGAGTAGGCAAGCGACTGTTAAAGTGCACGGTATTGAAGGAGTATTTCAGTATTAGTATCTGCTGTACTCAACTTATAATTACTTTTTAACTTTCCAATTATTTTACTTGGCTAATTAAACTATATTTATAACAGAACTAGGATTTATAAACAAATTATATAGGTTTTTATATTTTGTTGGCATGAGAGACACCATCACTCATAATAATAACAAAAAATCTGGTGTGTCCACTCACATGACTTTCCTGCCTATTTCAGATACGTTTTTATATCTTTACATATGTCCATCAAGAAACAAAAAAAATTGAATTAGATTTAATATTCTGAAAATCGATCAAAGAAAAGATTTGAGTACGAGTTCGGAGCTCGCGGAACGATACCTAACTCAACAAGGAGCTTCATTGAAGGCCTTGTTGTTGAAATAAAGGACGCGGCAAAGTTGGCAGAGTATAATCCTCGACTAGGAATCATCCACCACCATGTGCATGGGAGCGGATAGGGAGAGTTTGTTCATGGGGCGGGAGGCATGCGTGTTTTACAGCATTTTTATATTATTATTTATTGAACACGTCCACTGTACTTCATGTATTTGTATGAATCAGGTTAGAAAGAGAGAGGAGAGAATGTGAGAAGTGGGAAAAATGTATAAGGAGAGAGGAGGAAGAGAAAGGGTGTGGAATGATAATAAATTAATGAACATACATATTGTTAATCCTATATAATTGTATATTATTTTTAAAAATTGTCTTTAGTGATTAATAAGTATGCTGTGTTGTGTTGTTAGCAACCCTATGTAATTGGGCAGCACCATTTTATGATAATAAAGTGATTCTCTCTCTTTTAGAAAATTTCATTACCTTTTAAAAAACTAAGCGGTGTTTTATTATCATCGCTAATATTGTTTCGATTCCGGTGATTTTTTTGGGGGGGTTTGTTAGTAATTTAATTACCTTTCAAAAGTTTTATTATAAATTTTACCATGGAATACATACTTAGCGAGCTAGGCCCCAAAACATTTTTCTTTTCTTTATTCCTTTTTTTTCCTGAATTGTTTTGGGAATTTAATCCGTATACGACAATTAAAGGAAACTTTCATCAAAATCATTAGAGCCGTTTTTGCGCTACAGTCTATAGAAAAACATGTTTTCACATATGGCGCATGGAGCACCCAATTTATGTCACAGGCATCAGTAGTCAAAATCCTACGAAATAAAAATGGAAGCAACAAAATCGGTTCTCTAGTTCCCGAGAAAATCTTGGCACAGACAGACCAATGACTAAAAATGTGTTTTGGAACTCAAGGGGCTCTGAAACGTCCGAACTCTGTCGAAAATGGCATATCGGAAATTTGACCCGATCGCGATACTTTCCTTACCTAGTATAGGTAGGAAAGTAAAAAATAAGGATTGAAATTTGACCTTACCAGTAAATTTTGTATTATAAAGATAAATTTTCTTATAGAAAGTAATGGCTTTCAATCAGCTGATTGAAGTTGTGTGTTCAAATGAGACTTATTTACAATTTAAAATGGTTATTAGTTGTAAGTTCTTCAGTTAAATGAAATGGTCGCTACCTCTTCATATCTCCTAGTTTATATGGAACAAGGGCGCCTGGAGGAAGCACCCTTGAATGACATGTCATCTTTTTGTTATGCCACTCCTCTCCAGTTGCAGATGCCCAACGATAAACCGAGCGCCATCTGCCACATCGTCAGCCCAGAGCGACCTCTGTCTGCCAATCCGTCTCCGTCCGCACAGCTATTCGTCCATCTTCCTCGGGATTTGATCTCAGGTCATTCTCGCCATATATTCCTCCCACCTTTATCGGCTTATCATAATGAGGTTGATGATGTGGACGTCACTGTAAAGGAGGAGCATCAGCTCTGAATTAGTGCGTTACCTCCAATCCACCATGAGCCAAAAATAGTCTGATGACAAATTTTTTTTTTTTTTTTTTCAAATCAAAAAAGTAGTGATTTAATTTTCTGAAATATTTTAACATTTTTTGCTATAAATGGCATATTGCTATATTTAAATAACTATATACAAATATTAATTGACACCAGGGCTTGACTTACTAGTACAATTGTGGTTATATAGAAAGTTAATGGAAGTGTCTAATTACATTTTAGAAATAATCTTTCAAATATCATGTAGTTTTTAAAATTATAGATCTATTTTTTATTTATTTGTCCATGAATCGTTGTATCTTTGATTTATTTTGTAATACCGTCTTACTTCAATCTCCTAACAATCGCATCGGTGCCTGTTCCGAAATGTTTTTCCTCTTCAGAATAACGAATAGTTGATTCCATAAAAAAATGTTTTTCCGAACCTTAAGATTAAATCCCAAGTATGCACAAACTTAAGCGTGCTTAGTTGTTGCTTATACCAACAAACTAATAAATATACCAGCTTCTATTCGATTTTCTGCCATGGAGCTTGAACGAAACCTGAAATACTTTCATTGTATTTTATTTGATGATATACTGTATAATAGATCTTTTACCACCTCAAACATCCTATTATATACTTGTTTTTTATTCCTAAACATTCGTTGTTTGGCGAAATTGGCTCTTATTTACTTTAAACACACCAGTGAATTTTTTGTTCACTTTAGCGATTTCACAATTATGAATAGTTGCATCATAAACATGTTACGAGATTCGTAATTATGGTACAACCATGTATTTTATTAAACGTGCGAAGCAATTTGGAGAAATAGGTATCCGAATGAGGATTATTTTGCAACAATTTTGCGTTGTATTAAAAATTTGATGCCTTTAGAAAAGTTAATAAATATTGTATTTATAGATCATATTTAATAAATTAATATTTATAACGTCATTTTTCATTCGTTTCTAGGTTAGGGTTACTTTCTAATCACATGTTCAAGCAACTGTTCATAACTATGAAATCAATACATCACTATCAAATAACGTGAAAAAAAAATTTATTTATTTCGTGAAATGTTAAAAAATATTACAATTTTACACCATTTCACGAAATAAATAATTGCTTCGAAGCTGTAAAATTTTTATTTTGTAATTCTTTTTATAATATTTTGCATTTTTGGATTGTTGCATATTTGCAACATTAGACAGTTTCTACAAATTATATATATTTAGGATAAGGGTTTTAGATTTCTCATTTTTATTTATTTTGCTACAGTGCCATTTTCCTATAATACAATTAAAATACCATTTTCTGATATTCACACTATTTACTAAAAAACTAACTTAAGCAGAAAAAATATAAGTAAAGTATTTTATAAAGTATATTCTTTTGATGTCTAAGCTATCAAGTTATCTTGTATCCACAATAAATCTTCTTGTCGGTGAATTTGTTTTATAATATTACCTCATTTCTATAAGTGAACATTTAATCAACTAACTTTTATTAAGGCTTCAATGTTTTTAACAAAGTAAAAAATGAGTAAGTTGTGACCATCAACTGAAAAAAAACAATATCTATTAGTTTCTTTCTTGCCAAATTTAAAGTTATAAATTTTCAAAACTATAATAATCTCAAAGTAGGTGAATGATTTACCCCCAACCTTCAGTCTCAAATTTAAATTTTTGAATTAAATTGAATTTTATGTTAGATGTTAGATTAAGTTTGAATTAAATGTTTCCTACGATTTGCTTACAAAAACTTATTCAAATTTTAAATTATATGTTTTTATAAATATAATATTATAAATTTTTCACTGAAATTCGACTGTAATCAATAACATTTTCAAACAAATTTAAAACTACTGGAAGCTATGTATGTTACCGATAGGATATGTTAACGCCATTGTCTATCATTATTATGATATTATAGTTGATAATGTAGTACCATAAATACATTTTATTTTATAAATATAAATTACCAATTATTGACTATACTTACGGACTTGAAGGTTTCGATATCTAATGGGAAAACACTTACAGCAACTAGTCTGGTAGGAACATTTGCTTTTGTTAATATAATCCTCAACCATTTCTTGTAAATTTTGCTATGCATTGTATAGACATGAGTGCCTTCAATCATAGCTTCCAACGTGTCACTCTGACAAAATATTTCATTATATAGTAGATAGATAGATAGAATGTTTATTATTAATCAGAATAACATAACAAAGATCTTACAAATATTTAAAAAATATGTGCATTTTTTTTTTGTTAATCTGTCTCTCTCTATAAATATAAATAAATATATATATATATATATATATATATATATATATATATATATATATATATATATATATATATATATATATATATTTATTTATTTTAACATATACTACATGGACTATTGTCCGTCCGTCAAGTCGTCGCCTTTCATGTTTATAGTATATAGTTCAGTATATAGTATATATGTATGTATATCATATAATATATATTTATGTGGGTGTTTTGTATATTGTTCGAGTCTTTTAATGCATATATTATATTGTATAAATAATGTTTAAATGGTTTACCTCGTATAGAATAAGATTTCCAAGTATGCAAGTAATCATTAACTCAACTATTAACCCGAAGACAAAGAGACCACAAAGGAACACTCTTACAACTCCTCCGACCATCTGCAATTATATAACCTCAGTGTCAAGATAGTACGAACCTAGCTCAAATGGTTTCCTCCGTTTTAAGAAAAGATTCTAAATAAAAACTATTTTTCTCTTAACGATTGATAAAACAATATTTTGTTTTCGTTGTTTATTTATTTCAACCTTAACAATCGACGTTAAGTACTTACGTTAGCTACAACAAAAGCAGTCATACAAAGTACGCCTCCAGTAAAAACGAAATGCATCAAGATCGAGATGGAATACATGTCTTGAAGATCTCTTGCCATCCTGTAAGAAATAAATTATAATTTATAAGCATGATCGTAATAATGGTATAATCATTTTATTTATTAATAAATTACAACTTATTCTTCAAATCGCCATTAATTTTACAAACTATTTCCAGTGCTGAATTAATGAATAATTCAGTCTAAATAATGACCTGATTTAAAATTTCAATATGTCATTAAGAAAAAAAAAAATTGTATAATGGGTATTTTAAAATATACATTTTATATATATTTACACTTTATATGTATTTTAAAACAATATTTTATCATATTCAACATTGAATTAATCTGAAAGATTTACATCCGATCTTTTTCATAAACATAGAAAACCTTTTCATTTAACTAATCTACTCATATAAAGTATTATAAGAAAAATTGAGTGGTATGAAAATAGTTGACTGTAATTCTAACTTAAAAAGTTTATTTACTGCTTTCGGCAGTGCCAGATGAAAACCTTACATCGTAGGCCGAAATATTGGCAATTAAAATAAAGGCTAATTTAAGAATTATACCCCGGTCAACTTCTCCTTTAATTAGGAAAGTTTCGTTGTTTATTTATAGAAACTTTTTTATGGAAGGAAATAAAAAAAATCCTATAATATAATATAAGATAATTAGCCGTATAAACTTATTAGGAAACTTACCAAACATACTAACATTGTTAACAGTTTTTATGAATATGTTTCTGATGTTTTGTTGGATGCTCGATTATTACTCGATATCCGGCTTAGGCCAGTATTTTTTTGGTACCTAGAGTAAATACAGTACTCTAGTTAGTTCCATTTTGGGTCCATTATCGGTTGTTGGAATGATCTTATTACCCAGCACCCGGTAACGTGAGAGCACCATAGCTAATAATTGCCCGATACTTGCTACATGGAGAACCCCATAGCCATTATTACCCATTACTTAGATAAGTCCATAAATCATTATTATTACTCCTTGAAATCTATTCTCCACTAGTCTTTTCTACTTACGTTGAATCAGTTCGTTGTTAAATATATTCGTAATCTTATTAATATTAAAATTAGCGCATTAGTTTCAAATAAGGTATAGGTTCGCAATCGTCTCATTAAATCCAAATTTGTTGATGCTTGTTAAACATTTAGGAGGAGACGGTTAAAAATATATTAATTAATATATTTATAGAAAGAAAACCATTGTTTCTACTGGTCAGTTCGGATTAGAGAAATATTTCAAGTATAGGACAGGACCGGTACTTACAATATAGGCAGAATTAGAAGAAGAGTCCTTTTGGGAGGAGCACTTGCTTGTCTATATATCTATATTCTTATGACCTCGAGCAGTCCAAATTTACTAGGTCTTTATTGAAACTCATTGCCTAACAATGAAAGTATGTAAGAAAAATCAAATATATAACCGTATCCACTGGTATTTGAAACTTAGACATCTGTTATTTATGCCCCTGCATATAGTCACAACCTTTCTAATCCTATTAACAATTGTTATTATATAATTTAGTGATAAATAATGCTTGTGGTTTAAATGCCTCAAACAAATAAGTTCAATAAATGTGAAAAAATGTTTTGGTAGATTTTCATCTTTTTATTACCGAATATTTTCATAAATTTGAACTCCATGTGACCATGTGACAATAGTACTGAAAAATAACCGTAAATAGAAAAAGCTTTTATCTGATTTTTTAGCTAAAACCTTGCAGACTGTTGATGATTCTTGACCCACTGCTTCAGCTCAGCTAAGACTGTTTGGTTTGCCTCTTCCTTCGACATCTGGGTACCACCGTAAGACTGGAAAGTCGTAATTCCTCTCTTATCGACCCGAGGTATGCTAAGGATACGCTGCAACTCTCTGGACATGTGCTTCGTCAGAGCGAACTGTCGACAAGCGAACGTGTTGAACACATTCTCGAAAAGCAGCGAGCTCAGAGTGGTATAAAAACCTCCTGTTCCCTGAAAAAAACAGGTAAAACAAAATAAGAAAATGTTCTCAGTCGGGTCGAATGGAAAGAGCGCAGGAACGCACAGAGCTCTAGGCCCGCCTGTGAGAGCTAGGTAGGCAGGGATGAGATTTATGGTTCCCATTGGTATCGAGGTGAAGAGGAACATGATTCTTGGTAAGTTCCTGATTACCTTGCCATACTTCTTGACATCGGAATTAAGTTCTGGAGAGTTTTCGTACAGCGAAAGGTAACGTTCTAGCAGATCCTTGTACTTGTCGCTCTTGAAGTACATGTCTATTCTTCGGACGATGACCAGGAACGCTGCTGCCGTCGGGAAGCCCGTAAAGCACCTCACTTCGATCGACACATCAAGAGAAAAGAATATGGGTGCAATAGTGAGCATGTTGTAGAGAATAGAAGAATTGATCAAAATGACATATACTGTGTAGAGGTGGCGGTACCACTTGCCACACCCCGGGGAGTCCAGTGGCCCCCTCATCCCGGTGGTCAGCGACATCAAGGTGTCGAACCCGGACAGGTAGGCTCCCGCTTCGAGGTCCATCGCAGCAATGGCTACACCCTCAGCTATCTATCGATCATACAATGCCACCCAACATTGAATATTCCATCCAGTATTAAAGCTCACCGATCCCTATTAATTATCGTTTTGACATGGCCTTCATGTTTGGCTAGATTATAGAGTGCCAATATGGAAGCATCATTCTGTAATGTCATCATCAGCTATTCCCTTAATTGTCAGGCTTACGCAATTTCACAAAAGAATACTTAATCAACCAGTAGCTAATATTTCATTTAAAGATAATTAGTAGTGTAAGTCTTGACAATTATTAACACAGTGTGATACTTGTATTACTATGATATGTTTCAGCTTAAATATGATCATTAACAACACGAGTTCACGTATTTTAAAGAGTCAAGAAACGTTAGTATGAATTGGTTAACATATAGACTGCAACAATCTTAGTTGAATATCTATGGCAATTATTTACATATGACAATTGTCATTTAATGTTATAATCTATATTCAATGTTTTGATACCAAATCTTAATGTTAGCAAATAACTTTAAATTACTAATCAAATTTCCTTTTTTTTTTATCTTGATTCCTAGTGGAGGTTATGGAAGCAATTAATTAATTAATTAATTGTTAAATTTGTGAGTCATTCCAAAATCCAGCTAAGAGAACAGGATCTGCAGTTTGTTGTGGCTGGGGTTTCTAAACTTGATTCACTTTTCAAGTTAGTTATTAACATTTATCAGGACATATATTTCAAAATCTGAATTGGTATAGACAATATCTACAAATATGACTAAACTTTGGACCTTCAGCTCTGCTCCTCTTTGAGCTTTGTGTTGATGAGCGACTTGAGCTTCAACTTCTTTGAGAGTATTGAGTGGCTGTAGTAGTAGATAGAGAGTATATAAGAAATCTGAACGTTTAAAGGGGACATTTTATAAATTAATGTTTTGAAATGTTGCTTTCATATGTTGATAGCTACAAAATCCGATTTTCTTTCTATTTGATTTGACATACGTTGAAAGATACGTACAGGCTGTAAAGAAAAAAGTTCACATCTGAAATAATTTGACCTTTTGAATATAAACAACACCTGATACCTATGGATTAAACTGAAAGATGTGGGAACTGTCCAGATAAAGATCTGTAGAGGCAGCAAAGCATCTCAATAACACATTGATTTGCATCAAAATTTAATTAGAATATTTTAATACACAAAATAATTCAGGCGCATATTTATTCTCTTTTTTTTACATTTTCTATGAAATTTTCATATGTAAGAAAATAAACTTTTTTTTTTGACATCCAGCCTTAAACCTTAACCACGAGGTATATTCCAAACATCAACTGGTTTTTGTTGTCAGAAAAATTTAGAATCGGCTAATTGTTCCTACGACCACACCAAATTATTGCTTGTAAAAAATCAACATCTGAATCTGATTCACAGAAAATGAGGCTTATTGGGTCCTTAGGACTTATTTGAGGCGATTTTAGAAGGCTACTATATTGTATTACAGAAATATCATAACTCAAATAACACATTTATTTTCAAATCCTTACATAACTACACCATAATCAAGAATAAACAGCTTGTTGTTTGTTTGCCAAGTAACAACCTCATTACAAAAAGATAATCAATTAGTATTTATTAAATGTAAATTCGATAATACATTACAACTTCCCCCTCCAAAGAAATGTAACGCTTAACACAAAATAAACACATGAATAACAGTAACATAATTCAAATTTCTTCAATAAGACTTCTATGTTGACGACGGTCCCTAATAGGCCGAGACGACCTGTAAGGGCCCGGAATATCTAGTGGTTGCTGAGCAGCAGAGACATCCGATGTCGTCTGTCCATTGTTCGAAATGTTGAGAGTCTGTAGCCCGCCTATGTCCCCGTCATCTTCTAAAATTACCTCATCACTCCTCCCGCTCCGTTGATCTGTATTCCTGATCCAATTATGGCACAAACACACAAAATCGTGTGTTGGTAAAAATTGATGGAAGTAATGGAAAAAATTGATCCAAGTATTTCATGAATAATTCCTTTCTTCCAGAATCTTCTGAGAGGCCTAAAATCCATCACCCATACCTTCCCATTCAAACTATACTTCACCTCCTTCGTACCACTGGCATACTCCACTTGTCTTCCTTGGTTTTTGTGACCGGTCTTACTCACTCAGTCAGGGCGGAGTAAATCTATCCGTGTTCGTAATTGTTTTCCAAGAAGCAGCTCAGCTGGTGATTTGTCCGTTGTATCATGTATGGAGTTGCGATAATCTATTAAAAAAAGTGATAGATCTTTTTCTTTCGAAGTTTATGATATTATTTAACTTCGTATCGCTGTCTTAACTGTTTTTACGGCGTTTTGTTGCAGCCCCATTTGTTTGGAGTGGTATGGAGCGCCTGATCTCTGTTCGATTCCGTTTCCCTTGATAAAAGTTACTAATTCTCTGGTATAGGAAGATGAATAATTGTCACAAACAAGTTGTTTAGGAACTCCTAAACGTGCAAATAAATATCTTAAAACCCTTATAGTAAGTATCTTCTGCAGTCATGCTCTTAGACGGAATCGCCTCAACCCACTTATAATACGCGTCCAGAACAATCAGATAATATCTACTCCCTATTGGTTCTGCTTAATCAACATGTATTCTTTCCCAGTTGGAAAACCAATTTTTTCATAGTTGGAGGATGGTGATTCTAGTCGTAGAAAGTCTTTTTCGCGACTGTATTGTCCTACTTTAAGTGTACAGAATAATCGCGACTGCCAGCCTTGTTTTTCATTTGATTGTATGTTGGGTTCGCCCGTAGGCAATTTATGCAAGAAGGGCCAACTTGTTCTTTCTCCATTGTGCAGTCCTTAAATATGTGCCCGTTTGCAGCACATTAAATGCAGACTATTCCATTTGCCTTGCTAGTTGCTTTGATGAGGCCGTAGTGATTTTTTACATCGAGGATAGTGTTGCCCAACGCAAGAGTAAGACCAAGACCGCCTCGGTCTCGTCCTGGTCTTGCGTCAACGAACCTTGTTCTTGGTCTCGGTCTTGGTCTTGCGCACTTACTCTTGGTCTTGCGCAAGAGTCTTGCAGTTAACTATCAGCTAATTGCTATTTATTAATATGGTACTTTAAATCTTTGAAAAACGCTACAAAATAACTATAATTAGATGTTTTATTGACATAAATATTGTGAAATACAACTAAATCAACAAAATTAAGAATAAAGAAAGATAGTGATAACCCTCCTCCATCCCTCCGATTATATGGAATGAAAGAGTTGTAGAGTAAAGACAATTTATATATTGTTCCCAATGATTTTAATTAAAAATATATTGTGTCCATCAGAAAAAAACAATTGAATTAGATTAATTTTCCTGTTATTTTATATTATTATCTCTTGTATATACTTTTGATTATTATTTTGTTCCATTTATTTTATTGTTTGTATACATAGTGTGAATCCACTTACCTACCTCACTATAACCAATGTCCAAGAGACAGATTGTTATAATACTAAATAAAGAAATAAAAAAAAATAAGAAATTTCCTAAAAATTGATCAGTGAAATCATTAGAGTACGATTCCTTAGATGAAATACGCAATGTAAAAGGGCAAGTTAACCAGCATTAAAATCAGCGTATAAAAAACAATATATACTATTCTGGACCGATTTTTGTCAACAATTTTGTCAGAAATTTAACGACCTTTCAAAAAATAGGCTTCAAAAGAGGCTCAGAAACGTTTATTTCCGTTAAAAACCGACAGGTGTATACGTGGTGAGTTAGCTCCCTAAAACAATTTTCTTTATAACTTTTTTTCTTGTATTCCCTCGAAAATTCACTAAAAATACGAAAATTTAAAGAAAGACTTTAAGTAGAAAATTAGAAGAAAGAATCATTAAAATCATTAGAGCTGCATAATGTTAATTTTAAACTTCATAAAGCATAAATACGTATGTTTATACAATTAATTGATTAATGTTTTTAACACATATGTTAGATTCGCACATACAATTCATAAAAGCTTTTATTAGTAGTTTAGGTACTTAGGTATTATTGTTTTGGGCACTTAGATATTATGAAATAGTGCCGCGTGTCCTTCACGTGCTTTAGTTTCCTATTTAAATTTTGATTGAAACGTTTCTCCATAGCGGACTGCACACAGTGGTACCAAATGGATATAACACTTTTTGTTCTTCTCTGAACTAAAACTACCAATACCCAATCAGGTCTGAGCTATCCACAGCCAGATTTTGTTGTTGTTGAATTTAATTAAAGTCTTGAAAAATATATACAATATAGCCTGAATTTGGGTAACCAATAATTTCAGTTTTCACAAAATTATTATAAAATCTTTGTTAATGTCCACTAAAATGCTTTTCCACTGTTTAGAGGATAGAAATATGAACAAAAAACAACATTTATTTCGCTCATCGGAAACTATTCCACAGTTTATGTAATTTTGGAAGTTCCATGGCAATTCCTCAATTCAATGTGCATTCATTCTACTGCAAAATTTTAGATTCCATCCATTCTTTGAAAATTGTTCGAAAACCTTCATTGAGATGTGTACATCAATAATTAACAAACAATAGTTGCCACCGTTGACTTGAGGCCATTTGTAATTAATATTTGTCGACATTTCTCAATACCTGTTACTCATTAACTTAAACTTATTAATGATAAACTCTCAAGCTTAAATCATTAATTAAATTATTAGTAAATTATAATAACTATTATGACCAGAATAACAATGAACGTTTATGTAGTACTGTGTCATAAGTTATATATGAATTAAAATACAAAAGGAAAGACAAAAAATCGGTAGGATGTACAATAAAAAAATTATCAATTATAAGAATGAAGAACTATAAAGCAAATAAAGAACAATTCATGGACGAGAATTGACCGGTATGAGCTAAAACTACTTTTTAAAAAATAAGCTAAGATAAAATAATTTCATACTGAATTTTATGTTGAAGTTTTGAATCCTGTTTCATGTACAAGTATAAAAAAAAAATATTATTTTGCTCGCGGAAAGTCTAATAATATTGACATTTTCTGAAATTTACAATAAAAAATTTAACAGTTTTCGAGAAACGAGTTTTTCAATAGAATGAACCAAATTTCAAATTTATTAGGATAAAAAAACATACATTTTAATACCTTATTTGAAGTGTATATATAAAGTATTTAGAAGCTAAAACAAGAATTTTTAATGATCGACAAAAAAAACCAACTGAATATTATAATAAGATATATCACGTTATTTACCTCACTATCATTTATTTTTGTATTTTTATATATTATTTTTGATTATATAAGCATTGCTCACATAATAGTTTTGTTACAAAACGAAAAAAAACAAGAAAATATGATAAAAATGACGGATTTATTGAATTATAGCCAAAAATATCTAGTAAGGGATAACTATACGGAACTTGTGAAGCTTATATTCTTAGAACATTAATCCACTATACTGTTGCTTAGTTCCACCAAGGGATCCGGTTGTGAAATAGAATTTAGTCTTAACTCTTTGTTTTCATTTACACACATTTAATTATAATATGTCAACATGGTTCCGGTTAAATTTCAAAGGAAAAAGGTGTGAAATTAATGAGTGGTTCAATACGTTCAGTATTTGTAATTTAGCCACTCGATTAAAACTTGGTGTTAGACATTTTAAAGAAATCACGAATACTGCGAGCAGCGGACCAAACACAGAAATGTCAATGCGAAGAAATAATTTCTTTCGAGTTATGCCGTTGTACATGGATGATTTCACCAGGCTTGTATCTTAAGTTTCGTTATAGTAACTAAAATGGGCTGCTATTAGTAAACATTTAGTCTTAATTTTTATTCATGTTTAGTTTTCTTATCTTGCTCCGGTCCTGATAACCTATTTCGCGTTGCCCGGCAATCTGATAACCTATGTTGGAGAAAATAAAATAATTATGAGTTTGCGTCCGGCTGCCCGGGAGTCTTTTAACTCTGGCATTAAACCCCCGCCCTCATCCATGGCCAGCGAAAACCCCCGTATAACTTAAAGGCGAGGTAACGGGAGAACAAAAAAAAAAGATTACTTTTTAATTATTATTTGGAAGGTTATACTCAAATATACGATTCCACAAGAAAAAAACAGCGCTGTTTAGATTAGATGATTAAAATGTTTAAGCACCTTACTATATCTGAAAACAGTCTCAGTTT